CCTTGATTGATTTCTTAATGGAACACCCTCTTGTTCTCTGACCCCTGTGGATTTTTGTTGCATGTCTGCTGTACACAGTAAATTCATTACACCCAACCTGGCTCCCCTGTGCATTTCATCATTAAAGGTATAGTGATTCAAAAACAAGTAAAGCTGAGATTAAGTGGTCTATGCCATTAAGAAGAAAAGAGAAACAAAAACAAATGCTTTTCTAAGAATAAGCTACTAACTTAATTGAAAGGTTTCACTCGAATGCCAGAAACTGACTTTTCAGGGACTGCCTGAAGTCACAGACACAAATTATTTTTATGCTGTTCTAAACTCCGCACTTTATTAAACAGCAGAAAGAGTTTTAGAGGAACAGATCCCTTGTTGAAAGCCAGAAGTTACCCCAAAATCTAGATAGGTAGTTATCTCCTGTACCTGGCATAACAAAATTAATCACAACGTTTGCCTACTGAGTCATGAATTAGAAATACCTACATGATATAAAGTATATAGTCCCTTGGTAGGCACAAAGAGGTGTGTATCCATTTCAGACAAATCAGGAAATCAGGAGTTAGTGAAGTAATTTCTGCCCAAATACCCAAAGTCCAATGTTTTGAGAACCTCCTTTTCCCTAGTCAAGAGCCGCTCTGTTCTTCAGTATCAAAAACAGGCCTATTATAGGCAAATTACTTTTTTTTAAACAGAAATGCATATACTCACTGGTTGTGATCAGCTTCACTATCCGGGTTTGTGAAATATTTATTGGAATGAAGATATTTTGAGTAAATTTGCATGTTAATTAGAGATGGGCACAAAATGAGCCACAAACTTATTTGCTCCAGGCCTCCTCCTCTCCACCACCGCTGCCCAGCTAAGTAGGACAATAGGCTGTCTGTGGCCTAAATCTTGTCCCAGTGCTTCCTAGGAGGCTTAGGGCATTGTGGGAATTGGGAAATATATATGGGGATCCCTCGAGGAACTACACTTCCCAGAACACTGAAGCCTCCCAGGGCAGAAAGTAGACCCCAGACAGTTTAATGTTCTACTCAGCTGGGCAATGCAGCAGCAGAGGGGAGGAGGGTTGGAGCGAGTAAGGTAGGTGTTGGGGCCCATGAAGGGTGGCTTTAACTGGGCTACACAGAAAGCCGCCTTTCATTTAGAGATGGGCCCAACCCAAATGAACCACAAATCCGTTTTTTTTTTTAAAATTCAGTTTGGTCCATGGTTCGTGGATACTGGCGAACCGTCACGAACTGCCATTATGCCAGTTCGTGCCCATCTCTAATGTCAATTGATTGATGTGATAAATGCAGTTATCACTTTATAAAAGCTATTGTTCCACATTAAAGTTAGAGTGTATCGCTGCATTTGTTACCACTCCAAATTACTTAATGTAAGGAGTAAAGGTGGCAGCTCTTGCTAGGACATGACTTTACACCTACCAACAAGCAACAAACATCATTTTAGTTTCAGATCATATAAACCCTTTATGCATCTCTTTTACTTCCAAGTGTACGCTCAACATTCCAGCAGTTTTGCTGACAGTAAAAATAGATGTAGCCAATTCTATCTCCCCCAAAGCATTCATACACCCTCAGAACTTGCTCTGGAGGGGGAGGAAGCCTTTCACAGTACTGACAGTAAAAATAGATGTAGCCAATTCTCCCTCCCCCCAGAGCATTCATGCACCCTCAGAACTTGCTCTGGAGGGTGAGGAAGCCTCTCACAGTAGTTTTTTTTAGGGGGGGGGGAGGGCTACAATGGAGAAGGCATCCGCTTGCAATCCAGTCTTTTTTAATCTGTATCTTTTTGTGTATAAGTGGATAGAAATGCATTAGCCTATGGGTGCTAACATGGCCTAAGCTTATACATTAATTGCTCCTTCTGGATTCAGAAGTAAAACATAAAGAATTCTGAGAGCATTAAAACATCCTAAATAACAGAGGAGGTTTTCTGACCTATCCACAAAACTGTACACCGAATAAAACTTGCTACTCTCTAAGGCTAGAAGAGTCCTAAATGATTTCTTCTTTTGCTTTTGCAATCCCAGCTCCATGCCTACCCCCAGATTTCTCTTGATATCTGTCCAATACAGGATGTATGTTTATGTGTATTTGAATATTTAAGATGTGCTAGCTATGAGCAGAACGTGATACTTGCATAGAATGTGTTCAACCAATCAGATTGCATCTATGGTCAGCCAGGCTGCTATAAAAGAAAGTGCCAGCCAGGAGTCTGTTCAGACCAGGCTAAACAATGTAGACTAGTGTTAGAAAAGAGATCCATATGGCATGTAGACTGATAGGGCAGACAGTGTCTATTATGATATGTACAGTACCTCAGATACTCCGACTGAAATATAAATATAACTAATAATAGATGTATAACTAATAATAGATGTATAACTAATAATAATAGATTATAACTAATAATAGATTTATAACTAATAATAATAGATAATAGATGGCTGGACAGTGTCTGCGAAGCAACCAACATGAATTTGACCCAACTCCGGGAAGCAGTGGAAGATAGGAAGGCCTGGCGTGCTCTGGTCCATGGGGTCACGAAGAGTCTGACACGAATAAACAACTAAACGAATGAATGAATAATATGTGCAGTGGTGCATCACTTAAATGACAAAACCGCTATATGATGACTGTTTTGCGATCGCTTTTGTGATCACAAAACGATGTTTTAATAGGCAAAATTCGCTTCCCAATGATCAGTTCCCTGCTTCGGGAACTGATTCTTCGCATTACGACTTTTTAAAAACAGTTGATCGGCGGCTTCAAAATGGCCGCTCGCTGTGTAAAATGACTCCGCACTGTGTTTTGGGACGGATTCCTCGTGATGCAGGGACCAAAAATGGCCACCCCTATGGAGGATCTTTGCTGGACGGTGAGTTTTTCAGCCCATTGGAATGCATTGAACGGGTTTTCAATGCGTTTCAATGGGATTTTTTATTTCTCCGATTTCGTTGGAACGGATTATCCTCATAAAGCGAGGCACCACTGTACTAGGAGTAAATAAGCTTTATGAATATAACAATATAATGAAATGACAGCTATTTACCAGTGAACATCTGTCATACCAAACATACAAAGTAAATAAACACTGTTACATGTATGTGATTAGTAAAAGTTAATTATTTATAAACCAACTCGCTAGTGTTTATTTGAATTAAAATTGCTGGCACAAAGCATTTTAATGTTCTACTATTTAAATTAGTGGTTTTTTTAAAAATCTAAACACTTCTGTCTGCACATTTTGATAATTCTGCTACCTTATAGGTTATAATTAATTTATTATAACCTAAACCCTTTTAAATATGGAGTTAGGCATAGGAAAGCTTGTTCAGTATTCTTGTTAAAACAGGAAGTTAATTTCTACCGGCTTCCAGTTTTCAGACTCCCCCAATTTTTGACAGCAGATGTTTATAGGGAGTAAAATTTGGCCCTTGGACTCCTAAACTTGCCTTCTCTTGTTTTAACAGAAGGCAGAAAATAGACAATCCCTATTTTCAGTAAAAGCCCAATTTCCCCTGAAAATCCTGGCTGGAGCTGATAAACTGCAGTGCTTAAGTCTAGGCTAGGTAGGGACATACTTCACAATGGGGCACAGCAGATAGTGATGGGAAAATTTAATACTCAGCCTCAGTGCATGCGCGGATGACGTGCATGCACAGGACACAGAAAACTACTTTCAGATGGAGATGATATAATTTTTGAAACTGCTGGCCTACCTCCAGTAGAAAGCACTGGGCATTTTCTAACTGAAACCAACAATGTAATGAGTAGCTCTGTATGCTCCTGCCTATAAAATTAACTAAGTGCATATTTGTATTCTAAGGTAATTTAATGGCACAAATAACTATAACAACAATAATAACAAATGATCTGATTGCAGTTCAACATGCAATTAAACTTACAAATTTAAACTGGAATTGCCCCATTAACATGAATTCTACGGTACACTGCAATTAGTCAGTGACCTATTTTTATTAATATTTTTAGAATTGTAAATAGCCACTTTTGTTCATATCTAGCTTCACTGTAATAAAGTAAATCATTGTGGATATAACAGCAGTATTTTACAACTCACCATTACATCATAAAGCTTAATTGCTTCCAAAGTGCTCTGGAAGTGAGAGATGATGATTGCAGTCCTGTGTTCATGCATTTGCATTTATGAGAATCAGGCTAATGTTATTCGGCACATGTGTGCACGTAAACCATGATCCAGCTCTCCATTATGGACAGGAGACCACAAATGTATACACACATAACACAAGGTAAAGCTGTCTATTCCATGCAGTTTATAACAGCATTCCATGCACCCAGCGCCATCATTATGGCATTACTACCCAAAAGTGTAGCGAAGAAGGAAACATTTGCTAGGAGAGCGATTTTTTGAGCACAGTGGACTGCTCACACCAGTATTTTGGAAAACCGAGTCCATAATGACAAGTATCAATTTTTTTAAAAAAGAGTGGGAAACAGCCCAACAAACTGCCAAATATGTGGTCTACACAACATTACATGACGACAGGAAAAGGTTGATCTCCAGCAACATTTATTTCCAGTGATGACGTTTTAAATTCAGTTTATGATACAGTATAAAATTGACTTGCAACAAAAGTAGATATGCACAGGTTTTCAGGAAAAAGATACAAAATGTATTCCAATTTCATATAAATATTAATAGTTCTGAAAATGTCTAGACAGTCATTTCTAGCGCAAGTGTACATATAACTTCACTTGTCCCCATAAAGGACAAAAAATAAAACAAATTGTGAAACAGAATGCTGGTTGCCATAACAGCCTCGTATTATCTTTGCCGTGTCCAGTATAAATTCTGTTTCCTCCCATTAGTTACATGAACTCTACAAACACATATGTATTGGAGTCATCTGACCAAAAATGAACTATAGCAGAATGTAAATGGTTTAGCTAAAAATACCCACACATAAAAATATTCTCTACCAAGGTTTAAGGAAAAAGACTCAAGTCTACCTCTCCTGTTCTTGCTTCATTCGCATTCTCTCCTCTTCTGAAGTAACAGCTTCCTGCACTTTTATTTTCTCAATCTTGTCATCTTTTCGATGTTTGCCAAACCTGTTAATAACAAAACAAGAATTCTAACTTGTCAAAGTGAACAACGATTCTATATGTTTCTAACCTTCTAACATAGGAAACTGCCTGGTCATTAAAAGATGACTCTCCAATTGTATGCATGTGTAGGGGTGGAGAATGCCTAGACAAAGATAAAACGAATATAATTTTTGGTGATTCTGTTTTTAAACTGATGTTTGTTAGGAATACTTCTAACAAGATTTTAATTTTAAAATCAAGGGTCAACTATTTTGCTGCACTTTTTACTGAAATGTTTTTTCAACTCTCAGGATGGGAACATTTTCATCCCCAGAATCACATTTTGTTGTCATATCCGCAAAGAATGTTACCTACAAGGAAGGTTTCGGAATTCTGTTCCATCAATTACGTCACATAAGGATCATGATGCCATCAAGGCTGGCCATTTTTTTTGGAAATAAAACTTTTCTGACAAGAGTTTGGAAAAGTTCCTGTTTCAGACTACAACTCCTAATGACGGAGGCTGGTGGTCCAGGAGCTGTAGTTAAAAATAGACGCCCAACTTTTCCATGTTTTAGTTTTTGGCATGTCTAGCAGCTAACATCAAATAACTAAAGAGCAATACGGCCTATGCTGGTTGAGTGATTCTGAGACCGTCGTCTCAAAGTAACTTTTCCAAGCCCTGATTCAGACCCAGAGGTCTGTGCAGTCCATACTCATTGGTCTTAGTTGTGGGTAACCTGCCCCACTGCTTATCTTCAGCACATAACATTTAATGTCCTGAGACCAGAACCTCTTGGGGAAAAAGATATGGCATAGACAAGGCTTTTTTGTGTGTGTTGTTTTTTTTTGGAAAATACATGAAGTGTATACACTTCCTCTTCTCCCCACCTTCACCTCCCTTCAACATATTTCACTTCAGGTCATCACCCAAGCATCTATTGTCTTAAGCAGCCAACTTATTTTGCCTAATGGTTAGGCCAGCGCTGCCTTCCTTCCCTCTGTTTCCTCTCTGTCTCCTTTATACCGTAAGGTTTCTGAGAGCAGAGGCTGGTTATGTGGTCACTGTAACCCATTCCATCCTCCCACACAGAGAAGGCATAGTAAAGCGAGTAACTAAACAAATAAACTGCAATGTTGCAACATCTATAAATTCAAAGAAGTCTTCCAAGAAAGAAGGAAGGAAGGAAAGGGTTTAAGAGCACAATAATTAACATAAACAGAAGAAAATGTTCCCATGCTACACATGGTGTATGTTTTCAAAGCAGTCCATTCATCAAAACAAATTTTAAAAAAATAACACTGACAGCACAATTTGCTCTGAAGGCTTGAGATACCAATAAAAAGCTTCTATTAAAAGTGGAATTAAACTACTCTAGAAGCTATCCAACCAAAACTGACCAAGCACTGAATAAACATATCACACTATTTTCATGTTTGGGGGAGGGGGAACAATGAAACCCAAGACCATTGATATCTCAACCTTTAATATGCAATGACACATAAAAAGATAACAAGAATGATGCCAGACCTGAGCAAACACCCACCTAGTTGAGCACCCTGTTCCCTATAGTGACCAAACGAATGCTTATGGACACCCCAGGGCATCAGCATACTCTTGCTTGTGTTCCGTAGCTAGTGGGAGTTGCAGACATGTTGCCTCTGATCCTGGAGATTGTAACACAGCCATCTTGCTCCATAACTAATTGATTATAGTATCTGCCATGTATTTTTATATTCCCATCTTTTAAAACCATACCATTTGCTGGTTATCACCTGGTCTTGCAACAGCAGCTTCTACGGTTTAAATATGCATCATATGAAGCGGTACTTCCTTTTGACAGTTCAGCACTTACAGCCTTTCCCCCAAAAATGGAAAATGGAATTTTCATAGGACAGGATACTAGGTTTAAAGAATAATAGAGTAGATGGAGGAAAAGGACCTCCATGGGGAAAAAAATTGGGCAGAAGAAATAAGAAAGGGATGGAGATCAAACTGATGGGTTTCTAATTTAGATATATCTGGACACATTTGCTAGTGTAAAATAAAATGTGCTAGTCCACAAGGTGCCACAAGACTATTCACTGTTTTTGTTGAAAAGGAAACATACCCCATATCCCAGGAAATGTTTAGGAAGGGTTTTCAGAAGAAGCATCTCAATGTTTGATTATATTTCTGGACAGTGGCAATCCGTCAAAGGGTTCAGATACAATTATCTCAGCTTAATAAGCACTAATTGTTGACTGATTCATTGGATGTACAGTATATTGAACCTTTCACCCCAAGGTGGAACTTATTAAGTGGAGCCTTAATATGCTGAGAAGAACATTGAGCTCACATGTTCCCTTGGTTTCAGAAAGCAGCTACAGTACTTCTGTCATGGTTTGCTTAAACCGCAATCCCCTGATATACCATGTTTCCCCGAAAATAAGACAGGGTCTTATATTAATTTTTGCTCCAAAAATGCATTAGGGCTTATTTTCAGGGGATGTTTTATTTTACAGTTATGTCATCTTCTGGTTGCTGCACAATGGTGGAGGGCGGGGTTTCACTTAACTAGGGCTTATTTTTGGGGTAGGGCTTATATTACGAGAATCCTGAAAAAAACGTACTAGGGCTTATTTTCAGGTTAGGTTTTATTTTCAGGGAAACAGGGTATGTAGACCAGGACTCTGTGGTTTAACTAGGAGTTGGAATACCTGACTCTGGAGCCATGGATACAGAACTTGCCTTGTAGGAGGAAAAGCCAGCCTGTGTGGTCTTAGACAAGCTACAGAGTTCTGAAGTGCCCCCCAGAAGAAGAGAATACCACTTCTGAGTATTATATATCTAAAAAATACTGGAAAGTGTTGTCATGTACCAGAATCAATTTGACTGCTTCTTGTAGTTGTGCTTGTTGTGTATTTTATTTATTTATACCCCACCTTTTTCCTGAAAAGGACCCAAGGCAGTTCAGAGTATTTGAAAAAATATATTAAAAGCTAAAAATAATAAATCGTTACAGTACCGTATTTGGCGGCGTACAAGACAACTTTTTTGGCCCAAAAAACATGCCTCCAAGTGGGGGAGGGGTTCATTTTATATACCGGGTGCACTTCATTTGGGCCAGGAAGGAGCTGCCGCCACCATTGAGTGAGTGATGCGGGACTGTGCTGGCTGGGGAGGAAGGCAGTTGGGCAGGCAGTCAGTCCGGATGGAGGGAAGGAAGCAGAGACAGCCATGCCTGAGTGGCCAGAGCCCGCCGCCGGGCTGCCCACCACCCTGCGCCGCTGAGCCATCTGCATGCTCGCTCGCCCTCCACCCGCCCACCTGCTTCCCCTCTTCCTCCTCTTCCTCCTCCTCCTCCTGCCGCCGCCCATGCAGCCTCTTCCCCTCTTCCTCACCCTCTCACTGCTGAGCCAGCTGTGCGGGCACTCACCCACCACCTGCCCGCTTCCCCTCTTCCTCCTCCTGCCGCTGCCCACTTCCCCTCTTCCCCTCTTCCTCGCCCCCCTCCCAGCCAGCCATGAACTTCCAGGGTGGGCCCGGGCAGAGCCCCAGGCAGCAGCCGCCGGCACCGCCACAGAACCATCCACTCTATATTTTGAGTGGAAATGTTGGGGGGTCATCTTATACAGCCAGTCGCCTTGTACGCCAGCAAATACAGTATTTTAAAAAAGAATATAACATTAAAGCTGATAGATAAAAACACTTTTTAAAATACTTTAAATTACTTTTAACCTTGAAAGTTTTCATCATGGACTAAATTCAGTTGTCAGTCAAAACTCGAGTTGATCCACTGAATAAATGGGACTTTTTAAATCAGCAGTTCTGTAAACCCACTGATTAGGGTGGGGGAGGTCTATGGGATTGGGATTAGTATTTGGATTTAGACCCGCAATATAAAACTTTTTTAAAATTCAGGTTTTAGAATTGACAGTAGCTTGAAATAAATAGTAAAGTTTGGGCTGCTCTTCCTGAAAGTACATATAGAAAGCAGGCAGTTTGCTTTTAGGGAAGGATGTTCATTATGTTACACCCTCCTCTTCTAATAATCTAGACAATTTACCATTGCAGAACTATGAAAACTGCAGCAAATATGCAATTATGAGCATCTTCTAGTATTCTTCATTCTTTCAGCAACACATCCACAAACCAACCAACCAACCAACCAACCAACCAACCAACCAACCAACCAACCAACCAACCAACCAACCAACCAACCAACCAACCAACCAACCAACCAACCAACCAACCAACCAACCAACCAACCAACCAACCAACCAACCAACCAACCAACCAACCAACCAACCAACCAGTGAGTGAGTGAGTGAGTGAGTGAGTGAGTGAGTGAGTGAGTGAGTATTTAGAGAATTCCTAAGGGTTGTTTGGGTAAAGACGAGTTGTGAGGTAATAAAATATAAAATAGGCATGTGTTGTAAGTAGAATTAAACCCCCAGTTGAATTCTGAGGCAACTGCTTTGTATATCTCTGTTTTGCAAATACAATTCAAGGAATGACTCTAATCAACCAGGTGATTTGTAAATATAAAAAAGGAAGAAGAAAAATCTGTGTGTCAAGTAGCAGTTCCGCAGCAGGGGGGGAAAGTTTATTCATACAAGCAAGATATATATAAGGGAAATGTAATGCTTTTCCTTCTCCCCAGATACACTCAAATGCCAATTCCCCTCTGTTTAATGGATTTTTCAATGCTAGTGATATCATACCATCAAATATCAACCAACTAAATATCACACTGACTTTTTCCCCAGTCTCTTTTTCCGTTTGCTTTCTTTGGTTCAAACTTTGCATTTACACACAGTGACAAAGGAATCACCTACACGAAACAAAATCCATTTTTTTAAGAATTAGTTTTATGACAGACTGATGTAACAGTGGCAAATTAAACATATCCTGCCTGTTCCAAAGTGTTAGAAAATGATAAAGGAGAGTGAGTGAAACCTTGTTCACTAATTGTCAATATATTCTAGGGCTGTTAATTCACATTGTCTCTTTCTTTCAGGAACAAGAAAGGTCAAAATAC